AATCATCCATGTCTGTCACACATCCCAGGTATTGAGGAGAGGGGAGAGGAGGGCCTGGGCAGCATCCCATCCCCTGCTTCCCGAAGGAGCAAGCCCTGCGGTACAGAATGGAGCACATGAACGTGCTTCCTAATCACTGCTGTAGAAACCACCTTAATGCAGCAACCACTGGCGACCATAGAAACAAAGCAGTTCCTTTTCATGTGTTTTACTTAAGCCCCTATTATTTTCTCTTTTGCCTGGGAGTAGGAAGGCTTGGAGGGGGAATTTGTTGATGGGTTATCACAACCCTATGCTTTTTGGAAAAAAAAAAAAAAAGTGTAGCTAGACCCAGTGTGATAAGAGACCTGTGAAGAAACTAGAGTCTTCGTGATGGGGATTTAATTATTCTAGTATTGACAGAAATGAGAATTAAAGGAGGAATCAACCTGCTGCCTTCCATAGGCAGTAAAAAACAAGTTTATCTTTCCACTGTTTATTGAGCTCTTAGATATGATAAATTCAATAATGGTCTGGTGGGTGTTTAGTGCTTTATGATAATATATCATTGGGCTTAAAGTAATCATGGTTTTAGGCTATGAAGGTAACAAATACGACTTCAGACAGCATCATGTTGCTAAACTCAAATATTCCCAGAAAGATGGTGGGAGAGGAGGGAGGAGAACAAAGAAAAAGTGATATTTAAAGCAAACAAAGTAAATAATGCAACCATGTTGATCCCAGTAATAGCGAACAGTTAAAAGTGACGATGTAAGTTACTGGAGTAAAGCAACAACATATCAAATATAGACAGAAAGCAATTACAAAAGGTATAATAGAAAATTGAAAGGACAAGTTAGCTGATGTAAAAAGCTCACAAAAGCTCTGTACAACATTCAAGGGGAAAAAGTTGCACTTGCTAATAATAATCCACAAAGGCTCAGGGAATGCTAATTAGCGTAGAGCTGCTCTTCATTGGTACAAGGACGTATGGGCCTGTTCCAGGTTTAAATAAATGACTGAATGACAGAGACTAAACTCATTGGTGTTCTTTTAAAATGGAAGAAAAAAAAAGAAATTACAGAGTCCTGGCATCAGTCAATAATGCACCAGAAATAGATTTACTGGATTTTCAGAGACGTTCAGAGGTTTTCTAAAGCCACCGATCTATCTGCTTACCACACATAACATGAACCCACCACTTGGTGTGATTTGAGCCAATGCTGTTGTGCTCAGCTCAGGAAATTTGCTGCCTTTCAGGCCTTTTCTACATCACTCATTTTATTGCCTCTACCTTTGCAAGAAGCCCAATTTAAATTACTTTCAGACTGGAAAAAATAGAAATACAGATACCATGCAAAGTAGGGAATACTGAATAAGAGGAAAATTAGACATCAGTCATCTGAGGGTTCAATTCCACATTCAGCCTCAGCTCTTCTGGACAAGTCAGTTACATAGATTTCTAGTAGGATTTTCAAAGCCATCATACCTTCAAAAGCCTCAGTGCTTAGTCCATGTTTCCTCAGCACAGTGCTGAGACAGGTACTCATTACTTACTAAAATTGCTAATTCTACAGTTGCACTTACAATAACTGAAGAACAGAATTCACACAAAGAAGAACAGCAGTAGGAATCAAGTTGGGGTCTTCTTGTTTTCACAGTCTAGACGTATTTGCTGCTAGAAAGCAAAATATCTAAGGACAGCACCCTAGCATCGAACTGCTATACCAGAGGATGGCATGTTTGCTGTCAGCCTTGACTGAATTAATTTTCTTTTCTTTCTTTCTTTGGTGAGTTAAAGAAGTTGGCAAGGATCATAGCTAGTCTGCTGTGTAAAAAGTAACCTGGTAGGAGGCTGGGAGCCTCGGTCAGTACAGCCGTGCATAAAGCAGTAACATTCATTTTTGAGATTTCCTCCTGAAATCCTATCCTCTGTAGGAAGGGAAGCACTGAGCTGGCTGGCACGTTGGGCACTTCATGCCCTGTTCAGCCCCAAAGAGATCTACAGACCCAATCTCACACTATGTTATCATTTTTCCCCTACACATTCTTAATTAAGAAAAACAAATGAACACTTAGCCCCAAGAATCTGATTCATACAACTATGTATCTTACATTAAATAGTGCAACTCAGCAAATACTGAAATTTAGATTTTAAAAATAATCACAAAGACTATTAACTATGAAAAGAAACCTGTGCTTCTCCACCCTCGCTAAGAATGCTTATTTCTCTAAGTATTTGTTTTCCTGCTTTTAAGCACATTGGGGTTTTAAATTGCTGTATCTTTATTTAACAACATTGTTGCTTATGCATCAAAACCACTTGGTTTTGGAATCTGTCATACATCTAATAAAGACGATGCTTTAGAAACTAAGCTGAACCATGTATAAAGAAATTGTAAAATTCAATACTAATGATCCATTTCATTCTTAAACAATAGACTTCTGTGCATCACTGATGAGCCAACCAAATACTTGTAATATTCATTGTTGCTTTTGATAGAAAAATCAAGTAACATGCAATGCCATCTTTATCCGGAGGACCTTACTCACATCTCCAACAGAATTCAGCCATTTGCCCATATTTAGCTCACCAAGCAAATGAATTTATCATCCTTTCACTATTGTGCCTGCAAAAAATAGTAAACACTGAGCCTTGGAAGTTTTCTAGTAGGAGTCAACATCTAAATGTTAGTCCCATTCTGCATTTAATCTCCATATTAACATAAATTAAAGATGGGACAAGCAGCTTTAACTGACATTTTCAATAAGAAATACTGAAAAGGCCAGTCCAATTGGTACTGAAGTCTTGGTTTTCAGAGCACAAAATCAATTGCAAACAGACATGTGGAGCAAATAATACCTAAATATTCAACTCAGAAGAGTACAGAAGGTAATCCTAAACTGAATCCCCCATTTCTGCACTGAAAAGCACTGTAATGCAGTCACGCTGCACAAAGAAGATCCTCTAGAGCTACATGCTCTATCAAGAGCAACAAGGCAGAGCTGTCACCACCCCAAGTCTGTGGGTGAAGGGCTGTGCGGACTGCAGAGGTACCACGTACCACCCAGGTACCTGGGCTGGGCAGCTGGAGGCAGGAGGAGTTTGGTCATGCAGACCGTGTTCATACAGATATTCCCTCCCGGTGCCCCAGTCAGCCTGTTTGTGGGTAGCGTGCACAGACCTCACTCTATCCTCGCTTTAGGCATGTGGCTCTGGGGATTTGAGAGACCACATTGCTAATTTTTCTGCTTGGGTCTGTGTATCTGATTATTGGTTTCTAAATATAATTGGAGATATTGATTCCTTGACATTTATTATGTCAGTTCTGCTTTAGAAAATTCTCTCATGTATTAGTTTTCCCCATGTTCTCAGAGAGCACCATGACTTCTCTGCCAAGTGAGAAAGTGCAAGCTATAGTTTTTGTTAGGAATAAACACTTCAAAAGCAGAATAAATCTCAAACACACAGCTGGAAGCAGGTAGCCCACCAGTGTGTTGCAGAAGGCAAAGAAAAGAAAATTTTGAGAAGAGACATTGGGCAAACCCTAGGTTTAGAAGCAAGCATTAAATTAGCAAGCATTAACACTTTTTTTTTTCTTTTTCTTTTTAGTAACAGCATTTTCAATGTTTAAAGTCAATCATCAGCAAGTCCCACAGTTCTGAGGTCAGAATATCTGGTATTCCCCTCAAGGCACACGGACACGTGCAATTCTTCCTCATACATTCCCCCAAAGCAGCAATATCTTTATTAACATTCACCAGCTTAAAATAAAGATGTATTGAAAATATACAATTTATTATATATCTTACAACATTTCGTTTTTTCCCCATATATTTCATCACAGCAATATAAAATTCAAGGTCATTAAGTAGAGAGCATGGTATTTTATTTAGAGTTTCATTTCAAACTCGATACATACACACTTTGTCAACACTCTTCATTTTTATTATGATCTTGATAGAATTTCCCTCTGAGAGAGACAATGATCACAGAATGAAGTTTTAATTATTTAGGCCCAAACTAATGCAAAATACCAGCAAAAATCATAAAACCTTTAGCATCCAAATTTCTAAGAATGGTAGGTTTTGTAAGCTTAAATATTTAAATGTAAAGGGACTTTATTTCAAGTACTATAAAAGAGAAACATTGCCACTTACTGGCAGTACCAGTGTCTTTGCAATATTTGTAGGTATTTATGTGCATCTTCCAAAAGCTTTATTAACTTTTATACTATTTGTCAATAAAAAGCCCCATTAACATTTAAACTGTGTATGCCCAACTGGCTACTTCAAACAAGAATCAAAAGATAGCCTGTAAGAAACAGTTATTTATTACAGACTACATTATCGGGACTGTACATGCTGAGGATTTTGAAAAGCTCACATTTCTTAAAGTAAAGTGAAAAAATAAATAAATCAATCAACAGGCAAAAAGGCTGCACGTGGTCTGAGCAGCAGATGTGACAGCCACGTGGGCGAATGGGTATCTCTGACAACACAGTACAGCTTTGGAAAGAATAGTACAACCAGCTCGAGCCACTTCAGGAGTACTGCAGGTGTAAAGAGATCACACTGCGTATGGAACTGAAATTTAAACACCGCTTTTGCAGTAGGATCAACAGAACTTACCTGGCATTAACAACTAGCCTTACCTGACATTAAGAATTTGTCTTCATTGGGCAAAAACTTGATTTTAATCAAAGATAACATAATCATTGGATAAGAACTGAAATCACAGCTGTGCAGATGACAGACTCTTCAATCAAGCTGCTGAACTGGAAGTGCCAAAGACATGATTCACCAGCTCATGTATGTCCCCCAAAACTTTGTTTTAAGCACCACCAATTTTGTAAAAACCCTGCCTGCTGCTTCTGTAAAGTGGGTATTTCAAAAGGTAAGGAAAAACTATCCCAAAATCTAGAGACTGAAAGTGAAGTCAAGCAGTCTATTACCACTGCTTTTACAAATCATTAGTGAAGGCAGCATGACCTGTTCCACTGAAGAGAAAAAAAAATCATGAATTGTCTTCAAGTATGGGAGATATACTCACAGTGACAACAGAGGCATTCATTTCATTACTTTACAACAGGAAATCTATAGACTCCACCAAAAATATACAATCAAAATGGAGCTAGTATGACAAACGGCACTCACATAGCAACAATGAAAATGTGAAGTCCCCAAATTCAACAAAAATGCATTTCAGTGGCTTTGCTTCCTCAGGCTCCAGTTTCACAGAGCACCACTTCATTCAGTCATTCCTTTCATCTCACGTCCGTCTTGTCTTCTGTTTTTTTGTTTGTCTCTTTGCATCTTCTGAGCCACCTGTGTCAGAACCTGTCTGTCCGAGAGCACGTACTCCTTGCAGTCGAGTTGTCAGCTGTAGCAATAAGGGAATAAGCTAGGGGAAAAAAAAAAAGGAAGCAGCTTGTGATTACAATGGTATGTAAGGTCTGTACAATAACATTCTTTAGACTGATGCAACCCAAAACAAATAGAATCTATTTTTAAATTGCACATCTACAAAGACATCAAAAAATGGCAGCAAATCTTGGGAAGCAATCAAACCAAACCTCTGGGAATTTCTGATAATCAAAGCCTAAAATGATTGTCAGTAACTTTTTTCCTGCAGTCATCTAGCCAAGAACAGCAGTTCTTGTCCTGAGTCTTGAAGACGACTGCTATTTTCAGTGGAGACACTTTCAGTGACATTGGAGAAAATCCTGGAGAATCCCACGTTCTGTGCTGTCTTACCCATGTTTGACAGGAAATCAAACTGTACAGACAGCCATATCAGAGAAGACTAGAAGAACATGGCTTTTTAACAAAGACAGAGGGGGTTATATAGTAAGTAGTTATATTTCTCTCGAGACCTTTTCACTAGGGAGGGTGTAAAGCTAAAGAAACCAGACTCAATGACTTGCAAGTTTTTTTTCCAGTCTGATTGCTCCCGAAGCCAATAAAATAATTATTTTCATTCCCATTGTCATTGGGTCTAGCTACCTGAATTTGAATTATGCTGTATTCCATTTTTTCCCAGAGCCCTCAAATGAGAAGACAAAATTCAGGAACAGCACAAGAACTCACTGTCACACTAACTTTTTTCAAAGTAAGGTCACTGTCCAAAAACTTAGCTAAGTTGTGGCTTTTCTTAAAATGTGTCACATAAGATGACTGCTGACTGCACCTCTGTCTGGATAACCACCTTAACAAAGTATTCATTGACAGGACAATAGTATTTGGGTAAGACAAATAAAACCCATGACTTACCTTATCGTGGTTGTAACCAGCCAACAACAGAAGCAGTGTCAGTGGTAACGCGATGTAAGATCCTTGGGCAATATCTTGTTCAGGCAGCTTTCTCTGAAAACAATGAGGACTATGGATTTTTCTTTTGTTTTTTTAAACAGCCATTTTGACTATGAAATCCCTCGGCTTTAAGCAATGCCAGCACAGATCATGTGGCATGCCCAGACCTTCCCATCTGACTTCCTTCTAAGTACTGCTCTAAGATTTACTTTACATACGACTTCGAAGCAGTCCTCTTGATCAGATTCATTCATCTATTACCTTCTTCCTGGGGTTTGCTGTTTTTAAAAGTTAACTCACTGATGGTCAGCCTCCACTTTACAGTCAACCTGGTGTGCTTTGATTTACCTGTCACATGCTGCCCAAACCTCTGTGATCCCAATGATAATACTACAGCAACCATACTAGAACAACATCTTTCAAGGCATATCTGCATCCTTCATTTATAACTGCCTTTTCATGTTTCCCTCATGTTTCACTGGCATATGAACATGCAGCAGTGCAGAAGAGAAATAGATCATTTAAAAGTATTACAGAACGAACATTTCACTAAATTGACTGCACTGTTCAGAAGTGCAAAGAGACACCTCTCACTCAAAGGAGTTTTCCCCTGGTGCTAGTTTGAGAACTCCTCTGCTTTACCCCTTCCCTCCTCTCCAATAACTAAAGATCTCTTTTTGGCCTGGTGATACTTCTTTCATATACACAGAAATCGTTAAAGGAATTCTGACAACAAGCCTATCTTTCCCTTTCAGCCCTCAGTTACTGCAACCTTTCAGTTAGTATCACGGCTATAACTCCTTCTTGAACTCCTTACCTGTCTCCCGTAATATACCACCTTATTACATCCCTGCCTGATGTCTTACATGTGGCCAAATCCAAATTCACTGTCACTTTAATGCCACGCACAAACCTCTTTATATTTACATTAATAGAAAGTTTGGCCAAGACCACAAATAACATGCAGGCTATATACTCAGTCTCAAGGTGAACACTTGAACATTTAAGTATTTTGTACTTACAGTGGGACTAAAGATCAGTGTAATGTGTTTATGATATCCAATAGCAGTGAATGAAACTTGAGGCAGGGTGTAGTCATACTGCGATTTTGACAACGTAGAATCCAGGAGTACCACATAATTCTGTGGGTAAAAAATACACTCAGGCTACAGCATCAGTAGCAGTCTGGGACAAAATTAGATTTAAAGGCAAAAGTCAGTTTAACAGGCTTCAGATCTTCTGAGACACTGGTCACTTTGGCATGAATACGGTACTGCAGGCACACCATAAATAACACTTCAGTGTCCTTCGGAAAAAAAATGAAAGAGAGCAAAGCTAATATTCTTACCTCTCCATCTCGGAGCAGTGGTGGGAAATGGAAAAACAGGGATAGGCCTAAGTTGACTGTATGAATTGGGTTGTCAAGATTTTCACTTTTGTAGAGCTTCACCTGTGAGGGAAAGAAGACAGCACAAACCAGGCATTTCTGAGCCTGCACTACAATAGGTAGATATTTAAGAAATCCCACACCTTAAGGGACAAAAGCACTTCAAAATTTGTCATGTGTTTTATAAACAGACAGTTGTTAAGTAAGAACATTGGGAATTGTTCTACTCTGGGACGTGAAGTCACAGAAACAGTCTTTTTACAGAACTTGAAATCATTTAGGAACAACTGATATATGACATTTTCATGTATCTAGTGTACTAAAAGTAGTCTATGCCGTGCATCAACCAGAACCGAACAACTCTTTTAAATAAACCCAGCAGTTTCACAGGAATTTGCAGCTGGGGGTTGTTTCCATTTCTCCAATAGGCTCAGTTTGCTTGATTTCAATTTCTCTAAACGTATTTAACAAGCTAGACATCCTCAGGCTACAGAATAGGCCTGAAGTCCTCAGCAATACAGTTTTCTCAGAAACCAGCATAATTAAAAGAGGGTTGTATGACAGTCGAATAAGGCTGGTAGGGGGAGCAGCACGCCCTTACATGAGGCTGCTTGTATGCACAAAAGTTTATCAGCCACTGCACCTCCTCCAGGGGACACAGGAAGAAAAGTGATGGTTTTTGTGGACCACTGAAGCTGCCTTCTAGCATCTATCCCATTGTTTTTAAACCTCTGGATCAGATACTTGCTAAGACTTGGCTCTCCTTGCACACACAGCCCAACTAAATTCTCACTGATTCTGCCCAGTGCTGCCATGGTTGCAGCTCCAATCACAGCTCACCAGAGCATTTCCAGTTGTTTCATCAGGCCCATGCAACCAGAAGGGACCAGACTGAAGTCACAAAACCGCTTCCTTGTGTCTGTATCAAATCTTAGCACATCTTTCAAAGACAAAAATTTCTACCTTGAAAGCAAGGGTGATGATATGCACTCATCAACAGTGCACGTGCATTACATGCAACGCAAAACCCAACCTCATATGAAACAGGTACAGGCTTGGATAACTTCCATGTAGTTACATTTTGACATTAAGTCCTATTTGCTTAGGCTGAATTGCAAGTGTCTAAATTTCCCCAGAAAGATAGGAAGCTCACTCAGTTGCTCTTCAGTAAGGTGACACATTTTCCCTTCACACCTGCTCTGAATGTTGGATCCTCTGGATGTCTCCCAAAGAAACCAATAGCTTAGCAATGAGATCTTGGCAGGTGAGATGCATAACAGCCTAGTCTGAAAGAAATCCAGGCACTGCATTTATATTTGTAGGTAACATTTCAAGAAGCTTTTAAACCTGAGAAATTGTACTAGAATTCCTACCACACTAACACCTCTTGCAGATACTTCCAGCATTTGCAGTATAACCCAAAAGGATCACAGGCGTTCAGGAAGGGTTTTTTTCAGATCACAGTGCAGTCTTTTGAAAATTTCAAGCTTTACTATTTGTCTCATACTCTCTCTTCTAGCTGTACTTATAAATTCATGTGTCCTATGGTATCATTGCATTCACATGGTATCTTCTTGCTAGCAGACATGCACATCAAGAATTCTAGGTGTTTCAGGAATTAATGCTATTCTCTGACGCAGAGGAATCATTTCACCCCTGCTGCCTTGCTTTCC